AAGCCCTGTCCTTCTCTCATCAGAGCTACCTGCAGAAGAATTTCTCTGGCATGTTTTTTGCTATGTGTTATAAAAAAGTAGGTTAAAACAATCTACATATTTCAAAATTACTAGATCAAAAGAGTAGAAAAATTCCCACATATAAAATGATTAATATTAAAGAGATGGAAATATTTATTACCTTGTTTGTTTGTTGCACACTAGATACATGTATCATGTTTCATAATGGACTCCATAAGTAGATATAACTATTGTGTCTCAATAAAAAGCACATTTCTTTAAGGGAGGTTTACAATTGTGCAGAAAACTTGTCAATTGTTTGATTGATAAAGTCTGCCTAATAAATCTAAGAAAGTAATTAAATTGTGTTATTTTCCAGATAACATGTTGGCAATGAAGATAAAAAAATGGATAATCTTATTGTGAAATGTAAAATCTAGTTACCTATTCGGATTTTAAATATTTTAATAGGAACAATGATTTCTTTGATGATGCTAGTATTTTATTTCAGATATTTCAGTATCTTGGATTGAGTTCCACATGTGTTTGTTTTTATACCTATAAGAAAATATTAATGTTTAAGATTAGTCTACTCAAAAATAAGTGCAAGGCTGAGGGTTTAGAGATATAGCTCAATGGTGAAGCATTAACCTGCCTTATCAAGGTGCTGAGTTTGCACTCCAAAATTAAATATTTTGTAAAAAGCACAAAAATATGAGAATATTAATTAAGAATAATGCCAGGCACTGTGGTTTATGCCTGTAATTCTAGCTACTTAGGATGCAGAGATCAGGGGGATTGTGGTTCAAATCCAGACAGGGCAAATAGTTTGTGAGATCCTATCTCAAAATACCCTTCATACAAATGGGACTGGTGAAGTGGTGCCAGTTGAAGGCCCTGAGTTCAAGCCCCAGTACAGGAAAAAAAAAGAAGCATATTAAAACTTCTAAACATATTGAATAAAAAGCAAAATTAATTCATAGGAATATGACAAATAAAAACCAAATTTTATAGTCATTGTTTTTGTCATAATGCAATCCATTTCAGAAGAAATCTTTTCAATGCCACCATAACATCTTTGTTTCTCAAACAATATATCAGGGGATTAAACATTGGAGTTACAATGGTATAAAAGAGAGAAAGTAATTTATCTGTTTTTGCTGAATGACTGGACTTTGGTCTCACATAAGTAATGATGCCAGATCCAAAGAATATAGCCACAACCATGAGGTGGGAAGAACAGGTGGAGAAGGACTTGGCTCGCCCAGTTGCAGATGGAAGTTTCAAAACAGTTAAGACTATTTTCACATAAGATCCAAGTATCATCAAAAAAGGGATAGTGACAACTAGAAGAGCAATCACATAAATTAACATCTCAATCATAAAAGTGTCCCCACAGGCTAGTGTGAGGACTGCAGGTATGTCACAGAAAAAGTGGTTCAACTGGTTAGATCCACAGAAAGGTAGAGAGAAGATGAAATAAGTGAACCCTATGTGTACAGGAACTCCACTTGTCCAACAGCCAGCTGCCAGTTGAGTACATAGACTACTGTTCACGATGAGAGGATAGAGTAATGGGTTGCAAATGGCAACATACCTGTCACACGCCATTGCAGTCAGAATGAAACACTCGGTGGCTCCCAAAACCAAAAAGAAATACATTTGAGTAGCACAGACCAGAAAGGAAATATTTCTATCTTGTCTACAGAGATCTTGTAATAATCTGGGAACAGTGACTGACACATAACATACTTCCAGAAAAGAAAAGTTTCCAAGGAAAAAGTACATGTGTATCTGGAATGAAGGATCAACCTTGGTTATTATGATAATGAGGCTATTTCCTACCAGAATAATTATGTAGATTACCAAAAACACCCCAAAAAGAAATCTTTGCAAATTAGGAACATCAGAAAAGCCAAGTAAAATGAATTCCACCAGGGTCGTGTGATTCCTCTGTGGAGGATTTTGTCCTGTAAATTCCATCTATGAACAATAAGATTTCAAGATTTAGAAGTCACTATGGTCCACTGGGTTGAACTGCAAAATGGGACCTGTTGATGGGGTCAAGTTCTCTGATAAGCATAGATGTCCAATTAGAAAAAAAATCACATTTCTTTTGCTGTTTTTACATTTTTAGTGGTACATTTCAAATCCAATATCCCAAATTTCTAGGACATAAAAAGAGAGAGAAACATGACAATATTTTCTTGTTACTAGCAGTAAGGGTATGGGTATGTGACAATACAACACAGCACAGCAGATAAAATGAAATAAGAGCAAAATATGTCAGAGTTTAGGCTTAAGATATTGTGTTCTATAAAATAAGATCTAATACAAGGTCTAACATCATTTTTTGCTATTTTTAAAATCTTTCTGTTTTTCTTTTTCTCCTTCATTTCATATTTTGGCAATTATTTTCTCATTTTATATCTTCTCCAAACACTATGTAATCCTTCTTATGTATAAATACACACATGCATATATACCTGCATACATACATATATAAATACATGGTTTTTCTTCTGTAAGTCATCCTTTTAAAAAAACAACAGAAACAATTTAAAAAATGAATCCAGGTATATTAGATTGTATAATAAAGCAGCAATCAACATAAACCTTGTAGTTTATCAGACCATACAGGATGTTAACTACTAAGGATATTAATAATAAAATAACATATAAAGGCTCAGTTTCTGTCTTTACAGATCTTAGGAAATAGTGGTTAAGTCAGATGGGCTTCATATATGATATTTCATATGTACAACTCTATAGAGAGAAATGACACAGTGTTATTTTAAGTGTCATACAATTACTTAACAAAGTTATAGCTAATATGAGACTTTGTCAAATCTTATTATATGACAGAAGCATTTTGTTATTTTTACTAATATGGAAAAAAATACACTTCAGGAGGAGAAAAAAATCCTTCAAATTCTCTCTCAGTTTTCTATTCCAATAACTGGTCTGATGACAATATAGGTAATTGATTTTTAAATATTTATGAAGAATAATGGCACAAATGGCAGAACTCTCCCACTGATCTCTGAAATCCTGCTCAATTTTACTGTATTCAAGTACTCACTGACCAAAAACTTGACATAAAGGGTCTTAAAATGCAAATGAGATATATTAGGATAACAGGCTCTCATCAAAGTTATAAGAGTTTAATTTTTCTTATTTAAAAATGTTTGAAATAATAATAAAATAATAATAATGATATGTAACTCAGGAAATTGTTTTGAGCAATGAGTAGCATTATCTGTATTAACTTTTTGACTTAACATAGGAATTGTAACTTTATTAAGCATTGCTTTTATGGCCATTATTTTACTTTCTGTATTTATTATTTTTTCACCCACTGCTATTTTTTATTTTTTGAAATTTGCCTTTCTTTTGCCCTGCATTTGATTAACCTTTTCTCAATCTATATGAGAAGAAAAGTACAGAGTAGTATTTTGGCAGAAATAGTTGGTTTCAAATTAGTAGGTTATTTTATGCTGGTGCACTAAAACCAACAGAAATAACTGAAGAAAACTGCTATAAATCACTGAGCTCTTTTTTTATTTTGTCTATCCAGAAAGAAAGTAGATTTGTTATATAAATGTAAAAAACCAAATTTAACAATCCAACTCAAATTGCACTTAATGTAGGAAACAGAAATAACCTTCCTTCATCATTTTCTTTTCTAAACCCGATCTATTCTTTCCATCATCATTTAGTAATATTTGACATCTACCACATAGAATGTTTAGTTTCCCAATATCCTTACAGAAAAGTTTTTTCCTCCATCAAGAAAGCATGGTCCTTACCAATCATTACTGAGTTTTGTTTGTTTGTTTGTTTTAACATTGGCTAGTATATCCCTGGAAGAGGGTAGAGAGCTCTGAGTATTTGAACTGTTTCTCTGTTATTGACAATTTTTGATCATGTATTTTGGTCATCACGTTACTGATGTTAAATGTATTATCCCATTTAATGCATTCTGAATGAAGAACATACTCTTATGTTTGCATTTTACATGATGAACGTAGAGAGTTTAAGTAACTTGAGCAAATACGAAGAAGTCAGATGTGACCTAAATGAATTCAATCTTAGTAGTGTAGTGTCAGAGTCCATATTATAAATGAAAACTAAATAGATTTCAGAATAAATTCAATAGAAAATATTATTTTGGATTTGATATTCTCAATAATATCAATAAAAATTTGAGAAATAACCATTCATAACCGAAATGTAATTCCATGTCCACTATAATATCAATTATCATTATAAAAATGAAAACCTAATTACTTTATAGGTACATCCTATATGTTTTGAGTTCAGAAAGTGTAATGCATAGATTAATCTGGTTGAAAGTACCAAATTTAATGGCTTTTGGTTCAAAAAATTAAAAATACACTATCATAAAATAATCAGGGAAAGAAGATACTTCTCACTTTTTGCATATTGTGAAGAAATTACTATATGGTTCTTCTTTTATAAAGAATTGTCTCATATAATGTAATGTTGAAATTGCACTTTTCAAATAACAAATCCAAACATTTTTCTTTGCCCTTGAAATACATTCTTTACTTTTAATTCCATTATGTCATATTTTAGATAGGAAATAACCTTATTCATTGTGAAGGCCTCTTTTCCATGACACGTTGCATCTTTAAGCTCAGGAATCTGTTTATTAAGTTATAATGTAGGAATTAATCAAGGTTGTCTTTGATTGGATCAGTTCTTTATTGTCATCTCTGTCTCTGTGGAATATGGTCTGAGGACCTTAGCCTCCTGGCCATTCCTCCTTGATTTCTCCCCATCTTATCCTCCTTCAGAGACTAGAGAAGTTCCCCAATTGGGAAACATTTTATGTCACATTCAAAAATCACAAAATTGGTCTGTGTCTAATATGAGATCTGGGGATATTGGCTGAAACTAAAGCAATGTATCAAAAAATTTATTTTTCATAAAAAATTGAATATATTAATTTTGTACAACTGATGTTTTGATATACATACACTGTAGAATGGCTAAACAGAGTTAATTAGCAAAAGCCTTACCTCACATATTTATCATTTCCTGTGAAGAACACTTAAATCCATATTCTCAACAGTTTTCAAAATAGTCTCTGGGCTGAGGCTGTGGCTCAGCAGTAAAGTGCTTGCCTAGCATGTGCTAAGTCCTAAGTTATATTCCCAGTACAAGAATATAACCCTTATTAACTGTAACCACCATGTTGTACAAGAAATTCCTTGAGATTATTCCTCCTATCAATGTGTACTTTGGTATTTTTTTTCAAGTAGCTTTCTAACTTTTGCTTCTGGTAGCTGCCATTTAAAAATATCAGCTCTCAACATCAAAGAATGCAATGTAGAAAATATTTTCTAAGAATTCATATATAATCTAGGTTGTTTATGTATTAAAGGCCTCTATTCATGCTTTGCAGAGACTTTTTATAGATAGTTAAGTAAGGAAAATACCTGAGTTTAGGAAAGAGAACATGGTAGACTGAGATTCTTTTCTGTAGATGATGGTGGGGAAATGATGTATCTAAACTAACAGGAGCAGCCTGGCATACACCTGTAATCCAATCACTTATAGGACTGATATAAGAACACCACAAGTTCAAAGCCAGTCTGTTCTACATACTGATTTCTAGGCTAGTCTGAGTTAGAAAGTGAGAACCTGCCTCAAAATACCAAACCAGTCAACAATCCATCCACCAGTCATTCAAACACACCAACCTAAAAGTAGAGTGAATATTTTTGCTGCAATGAATTTTTGGTAATCTTTTGTAAACAGTGATTATGACTTCACACTTTCAATGTTTTTTTATTTATCATTTAGTAAATGTGTAACAATATAAAGTGTTATGCTACACTGCTCTGAAGACAAAGAAATGTTTTCATCTGTAGACGGATTACAACTTCCGCCTGCCAAACTCCTGCTTATCTTCTAGACTCAGCTAGTGTGTCATCGTATGAAAAGTGACCCATTATTCATGCAGGAATCATTAACTATTCCAAATGCATACCCCCAAATCTCCCAATATCACTTCCTTTTGATCCTCAGTGTAAAGTTGTTACTTGACAATATATCTTTTCTCCTTGAATCCTAGTCATTGGTCTTTTAACTGGTGTACATCCTAGTTTCAAGTAACAAAACATGAACAAAGAACATGGAAGTTTTTCTCAGTAAGTTATATCTGTATAATTTAAATTTTCAAATTACTAATCATGTATATGTGTTCCCCTCCATCCTGAGTAGTAAAATGTCAGAGAAAGGCTATATGAAATAAGAACATAATATCTAATACTGAAAACAAGAATGGAAGCCCAGAAACTAGTTAGGAAGATATTGCAATCATCTATGTAGGAGAAGAGGAGATAATGCCTTATGCTCTATTTGAGTCCTGGCTTCAATTTGTTCTCTCAGTTCAGACGCTCAACTCAGACCCATGTATCTCCTGTGGGCTCTGTGAGGTATCTCGTTATTCACACTGGGTATCTGCATCTTGATTGGGTGGGACTGGCTTATATTTTTGTACTTGTCACAATGTGCCTCCCACACCTGGCCTCCGTGAATTAGATGTTGACATTAATGGGATGTGCAAAATATGACACTAGAAACATGGACACTGAAATGCAGCAGAGATTTTACAGAAGAACCATCTTCCTCCACGCAGGGAAGAGAATTTATTGTCATTGAAAGTACTCACCATCACTGCATAATAGCGATACAGAGGTGTTATGAGGATTTCATATCCTTGCTTACAGCTGTTCTGGGCTCTTTATCTGATGGATTGACTCCTTTGGAAACATTTTAAAATCTAATAGAGTGTGAATAAAGTTTCCAAACACCAAGTCTTGTAAGCAGATTGTAGGTGCAGGATATAAAAGAAAACATGCAATTTAAAAAATTTCACCTTTTTCTGTTTTTAATTTTTAATTTATTTTAACTAATAAAGGAAAATATAAGATGTATATATCCTAACGTGT